TAGAAGGTAGAACTTTACAGTATTAAAAGATAGTGCGTACTCAAACAAAGGGCTAGAAGTAGAAGGGAGAGCGGCAAATTCGTGGCTTAGCTGGCTGGTTGGCTGAGCCACCAGGCTGACGAATCACATTCCCAAGATGGATAGATCGATGACGTCATTGCAATCGGCTTCATCCACAAAGGATATGGAGTGAAAGATGGTGATCGATACCAAAGTGGGACAAATCCACGACAGCGTTAGGTTAAGATCAACGAGAGGAAAAGCAAGAAGAGATTTGAAGACCCGTTTGCATCAAATAAGCTCTATTACAATTAGACTGCAATAATACAAAAAATGCCAGGTAAGTGTGTACTGATTCGATGAGGAATTACGGTGTTTAAAAGATGCGTATCAATAATTGCGCTAGAACTATTATGATTCTGTTAATATCTGAAGAATTACCCCTTGCAAGTTAGAGTAACTGCTTTTCTTTTTGTTAAAATTTGTGCACGATCTGCTAAGATATTTGTTGTTTCTAATTTAAGCCAAACCGACAAAGTAAAGGCTATCATTGGCAATACGCGAATTCCAATAAGGATACAATGTACATGGTCATCTATGTTAAATTAATCTCACCAGGAGTAAGTTTTTACGCTCGAGCACAATTTTGCTTTAGTTTAGCCTTCAGCAGATGTAGTAGGCTGGACCGTTTTGACCAGAATACATTCAATTGTTAGTGCAGTGCATAAGAAATAAGTATCCAAAACTGTATTCCAATGGTAGTGTAAATAGCAGTGAGCACGAGAGAGCAGGATGAGGTGAAAGAAAGGAAACTTTCACGAATAACGCTGACCATACGTCACAACAAGGCCTATTATAACTTGAAATGATGTATCTGCTAACGATGCGGAATACTTGCTGACTGGAAGCTATGCATATCGTGTTAGAACGTCTACTACGTGAGAAACTCGGCAGATAATCGAGTTATGCTTTCTCGCTAATTAATAGTTAATTAAGCACATAAGATATGATGTTAGCGCGCAACGGATCAAGACAGACAAAAACCTTTCAATTTGCTTGAAATCAAATAATGAATAGAGTGATTGGAACAAGTTGAAGGAACTAGTTCAGAAACGCTACATCTTGACGAAGTAAATGCAACAAAAACGTTTTTGATATGTCGTAGCGGACGCGTTGAACGACGATTGACCTCATTCCATCGTCTATACGGGCCCAGTCGCTGGCCAAGGCTAGCAGCCCGTGATCAAGAATTTCACCATTTCTACGGCGATGGCGTCATATCCCTGTGAGATCGTGTACAGAAAGAGATATAAAGCAAATTGAGGTAAAAGATTCTTAGAT